AAAGAGAGGAGATTGTAGAACTTATATTTTGATATAACAAATAAGGGAAAAATGTTTTTGGACTAAATTAAATTTATTCAAAGTATTCAAAAATAATTCAAAGTCCAAATAAAAGTTAATAATATGTTTTTAAATGTTTTTCAAATTTAGTCAAACCTTTTCAAAACATACTCGATCATTTTCGCACTTTAAAGTCATGCTTCCAAGTTTCTTTGGCTCAAAGGATCGATCCCTTAGCAAAAGGATCGATCCCTTTGACCAGAGGATCAATCCCCTTGAAAAAGAATCGACCCTTTGGACAACAGTGAGTTTGGGATCAATCACTTGACAAAAAGATCGATCCCTCGAGGAAAAGGATCGATCCCTTCCCAAAAAGGATTGATCCCTTTGGTATAACGGTCGAAACATTTGAAAAAGGATCGATCCCTTGTGTATTAAAAGTTGCATGTAACAGCTATTTTTATCTCCAACGGCTCCGAAACATCCCAACGGCTAGAAACGAATAGTAACTCATTCGAACATATAAAAACAAATTCTAGACACTTGAAGAAGGTTACCAACACCTATCCAAGAATTCAAACACATGAGAAAAGTTTTTCAATCCTAATTTTCTTTCTCTTGTAAATATTTGTTTTTTAAGCTCAATTGTATATCCTTAGGTTTTTTTTGTGAGCTAAATATTTGTAAACTCCAACATAGAGAGGTCTTCTTGTTTACACATTTCTTATCCTTTGTAAAGGGGTTTTGGTTCTAGTTTATCCAAGTGAAAAACTAGGGAGTTGTAAAAGTTACTCTTGATCCTTGAAAAAGAAAGAACAAATTAGTGGATTTGTTGGAAAATCCTAAGTGAGGAGCTTAGGTAGTGGATTTAGACTTTATTGAGGAAGTTGAACCACTATAAATCATTGTGCAAATTTTCCTACCTTTATACTCCTTACTCCCTAAATTTCAAAAAGCCAATTCACCCCCTCTTGGCACATTTTCGGTTGATCGAACGAGCATAAAAATAATTGAAATAATTCAACCTTCATTGAATGTCTTCTTGCAGCACAAGAAAATCCTTCAAAATGTAATAATAATGGTCATGAATACAAGCTTTGAATGCTTGTAATTGCTTGTCCTCATACCAGAACGTGAATAGCCTCCAAAGATGATAAATTCAACCTTGAATAGGTGAATTAAGAAGACTTGAATGCATTGTTATTGGTGGAATACAAATAGCCCTTGAAAAATGGAGAGAAATCAACCTTGAATTGTCTTGAATGGCTGAGTTAATATGATCTTCAGTAGATTGTATCTTGGTAGAAGATGAAAAGTCTCTCCTTGGCTTGAATCTATCAACACGTCTCAAGCACCTAAACACACACATAGACTTTATTCAAACTTCAAATGAAAAATGCATGAAAACAATTAAAAGGTTAGTTAGATTACTAAACTAGTTATATGAAAGAACTAGTTTAATTAATGAACTAACTTTATTGAATAAACTAAGGTGCATGAATGAAGTAGCTTACTAAATGAACTAAATTAATAAATGAACTACTTCCCTAAATGAACTAGAAGCTTAAATGCAATGCATATTTTAATGATCAGAACACTTATTAAATGCAATGAAGACTATGCATATAATGAGCTAGGTAATGATGAATATGATATTCATAAATGATGAATGAAAACATATAATAATAATATCCTAAGAAATGAAATGCAATCATGGCATATATGTGTATGATATGGATGACATGATATTCTAAGTATATAATATGATATGAATGCAAAGGTTTGAAACAATAGGATGCATAAAGGATATAAAGTAAAGTAAAGAAGGAAGAAACTCCCTTAGAATCCTTCATGGCAAATGTCCAAGGTATGAGAAGTATATACGAAATGATGGGGCTTGTTAGGATCACATCAGATTCTCACTATAAGATCGTTTACTTATGTAGAAATTACATGGATATGTTCACTTCTTCTTGGCATTTCAATGACATGATTCGATATGGAAGGGAAGTGTTACTATCACTTGATGAAGCTTTTGACAAGTTCTGCTATGGAATCACTGTGTGTGGTCCCTTTTTTATCACGTATTGGGGTACTGGAAGGTAAGCCAAGAAAACCCCAACAAGATATTGTTTCTGAAATATGAAGATCTTACGGAGGACATATGTTGTCAGTTGAAGCACTTGGCCATGTTCTTTGGGGTTTCTTTCACGAATGATGAAGAGAAACAAGGGGTTGAAGAAGTCTTGAAGATTTGTAGCTTTGACAAGTTGAAGGGATTGGAAGTTAACAAGAATGGCTCACACATTTCTGTGGCTCCGCACAAAGCGTATTTTAGGAAAGGGAAAGTGGGAGATTGGAGCAACTATCTCACACCTTCCATGGTTGAACGTATGGTGAAGCTTATTCAAAAGAAATTGGATGGCTCGGGTTTAACATTTAAACTCTCATCCAAATCTTCATAGGATTACAACAATGTTGCTTTTGCTTTATCATGGGCTGACCTTTTTAGTTCTGATATTTGCATGTTGATATAAAAAGTATATGGAATTTTCCCATTTAGATTATTTTCGGAGTTAGAGTAAAATAAATAGTTCAGGGGAAGTCGGCCGGATTTTCTGATGACTTGATGAAGATGTTGAGACTGCATGGCGTCTTTCCAATTCACCATGCATGCCTCACGCTCCTCTGCGTAGTCCAAACGCCTAGGCAATCCCAAAGTGTTCATAAAGTCGCTGAGAAATCCGATCAATTTTCCCATGCACTATTCCTATCACCCTAATTAAGAAAATAAAATTCTTCCTGTTGAGACCCATCCAGCAGCTGCCCTTATGCCTCAAATCTCTTTTAGCCCCATCTATCTATTTATTATAATTTTTTTTAATAATTTCTGCTAGGGATCTCTTATTATCATATAAACTAGAAAGCTTTTAGTGATGCTTTCTAAATTTATATTTTGAAAAATACACAGAAAATCATATATGAATTTATATTATATAAATAAAATATATTTCTCTATTTCAATTTTACAATTTAAACATGATATAATTTTTTTGTCTTTATTATATCAAATAATAATCTTAAAATTAATGGCTGAAACAAAGAAGCAAAGAACCCTTTCATTCAACTGAAGCTACACCATGGTCCCTCCCACTAATCTAGGACACTAATTCTTCTGTCAATTTGCATTAGCACGTGAATTCGAGCTAGAAACTTAACAGGTGTGTTGGGAGATATGCATGAATCGTAGATGGCACTTTCTAGTTGTTTGTTCATCTATCCTCATGTATCCTTCCCTAGTGGTGTGGAGAACTTGAATGTCAAACTGAAAGTAGCCAACATCAATTTTACCTTCTAAACATAACATTATGGGAGCGTTTGGTTCGTGAAAAAGATCATTACTAAGGGAGCATTTGGTTCGTAGAAAAAATTATTACTAAGGAGAATGATCTTTTCTAGAATAATATTCACATGTTTGGTTCACGGAAAATATTATTACTATGTAATAAATTATTACCAATAGTAAGCTCTATGTCAAACTACTCTTGCAATGCTTTCATCTTCTCAAAGGCTTCCCATTGCAGTACCTTTATTGCACTTTCAGTGTCTATTAATATTCTTCTAACTATCGAGTTGAGATGACCAATGAATCATCAGCAGTCTCATCGAAGAATCCATGTCTCTGAAATTAACTTTCTAGTCTTCTACATGTCTGAGTCTTTTCCAGATGATTTCATGAACATTACACTTCAACCGTGTGACCTCGGGTCAGTGGCGGATCGAGAAATTTAATAGGACCTAAAATTTTAATATTCTTTTCTTAAAAATAATGGGTATGCAAAACTTTTTACTTTTTTCATATTTCCTTAACATATTAAATTAAATTTCACATTTTTTCCTAAATAATGAGGATGCACTTGACCCTCTAAGAGACTTAGTACATCCGCCCCTGCCTCGGGACACACAGATGGGTTTTGATACGAGGATTGCAAGTTAAGCGAGCTGATTTGCTCTAAGGAGCTCATCTTAACTAATTCTCTTTCTGTCAGGAGGTATTTTATGTTCATCACACTAATTATTAATTGTAAAATATGATTTACGATGATTATCGATGGTTAACCTATTCTTATTTGTGAGGAAAATCGCAATGGATAATTTTATTAAAGAAAATGAAGATGATGAACAATATATGAGGGAAAGAAAGATATCTCTTTGCGTATTGTGCTTGGAGGTTTATATACTAATCGTTATTGTATGTTTATGACAGGTTTAAGCTTATGATTTTTATTCATAAGTCGATAGAGTGAATTAACCTAATCGTCATATGACATAATTTACTGGTTATGAAATTGACAGTGATCAAATCAAAGGACTATAACTGTGCGGATGACTCCCAAAATTTTAGGGTCTTAATAATGTGACTAACTTCATTAGAAGGAATTGGCAGGAGGCACAGCAATAATAAAAGTGAATTCAATAACACGAGTAACGCATATATACATAATAGACTATTCTTATTCCAAATCCATCACTTAGAACAACATATGCGAGTCCATTACATTAAGAAAACACTAAATATTTACAAGAGAAAGAAAGAAACAATAAAAATGCTATGCAATTTTGATAATATTATACCCATGGTTTTAAATCGCGGTCGCGTTTTCGGTTATTTCGGATTTACCGTAATTGCGGCCGTCGCGGATAACTCGGACGGCAGCGAAACCGCTATATCGCGGCCGAAATCGCGGTCGCGGACCGTTTTTTAAAACTCTGATTATACCGTTAATGACGATACATTTAAACGAGAAATGGAATGAACAGGAGCTTTAGTACCATGTAATGCATCATTCACATCATCAATCAAAGTTAACAAATGAAGAACATGAGATTTATAATGTACCATGTAATGCTTATCCACATCATCAATATACGATAACAAATTAAGAACAAGAGCTTCATCATGCACCCTTTAAGACCCTCGTAGCAAATTAATCAATGCTTCAATCGCAGCAATACGGGCATCGAATCAAGCCGTTTTCGTTGCATTTGAAGCATCTCTTGACGAACCCTACGTCGTCGTCGAACAATTTTCGACTCCCATTGCAATTCACACAAGGCACAAACCTCACATCCCCACAAGAATTGCAAACAAACCCAGGCTGCCTACGGGGAAAATCATCAAGAATCTTAGCCAATTCACCCATTTCAAACATGCTTTTGATCACATCAGCACCACCAATGTACTTCCCCTTTATAAAAACCTGGGGCAAGGTCACCTTCCTCACTTTCAAGATGCTTTGCAACTCTTTCTTATAAGCAGCATCCATGGAGATATCTCTCTCATCGATCCAAAGTCTGAACCCTCTAAATATCATCTTTACAGCATAACAATCCTCGTAAGTCCTTCGAATCCCTCGTAAACTGGTTAAGTAAACAACAATTCGATCTTCAGTTCCAGGTAATCTTATCGTAGGGTTAATAAAACCCGGTGAAATCGACGATTTTGAGGCTCTTAAAAGAGGCTTGGGGGCTTGTCCTTTAGGACTGGGTAGGTTGGATGAAGATGATGAAGATTTGTCTGATTCGAATAAACTGCAAAGCTTTTTGACTTTACCTTTGACGGAATTCATTGAATCGTGAGATTTGGAAGCGGAAGCAGGTTGATTTTGGGACTGTTGATTCTTGCGAAAAAAGTTAACTTTTGAATGATTCGTATCAAATGTGTATGGGGTGGCGTACATTGTAAACGAACGATATAAGAACCCAGGTGAAAACGATGGTGACGACAACGATTTCGCTTTGTTCTTCCTCATCTCTGCCATTGACCCAGATATTTCTTTTTAGCAGCAAAAATGAAAATTGCTTTCAAGAAGAACAAAATTGATTATTTTGAGAATTGGGTTTAATGATTTTTTTTTTTTGGGTGTGTTTTGCCAAGAAAATATTTCTAATGGAGGGAATGGAGGAGTTCTTCCTTTTTTAGGAAAAACCTCAAAACAAGAATTTCGCTCCCAACGAATTCTATTCAAAACAATTTCATATAGTTATTTAGGATACGTCTGTAATTTAATAAATTTGAAAGAATAATTAAAAGTTTATTTATATAATTAGAAGTTTCCACGTTTGAAATTATTTGTACTGGTTGGATGGACAGTTAATATGAATATTGGTCATATGATTTTTTTAAGAAAAATCTGTTTTTATTGACGATAAATAGAAAAAAGGGTTTAAATTGGAAGCTTCAACCAAATTTTGTTTTCTGCCTTTTTTTTTTTTTGTTATTTTTTTCTGATGAATTCCCCCTTCCAATTTTCTATATCAACGGTTTTAAACTTTTCTATCCAGCGCTCTGGATTTTCTCTTCAAATATATATTTTACAGATTATCAGGTAGATTCTTATTATCAGTTTATCCATATACAACGTGAAAATTTTTATTAACATTCGACGAGTAACGATGAGTACTATTAATTTAATTTTTAAAAATTTAAAATTTTAAGGGTTCAATATATAATTATAAATTAATTAAAAATTTAAAGGTAAATTATTTAAAATAAAATATAAAATATACAAATGATCAACTAATTATTACCCTTTTTTATTTTGACCACCATTTTTGAAATATTATTAATTAGGTCACTCAACTGTTTAAATGCATTCAATTAAGCCAATAACAGCTAATATGTAACAGAAAAACTGATGTGGAAGTTAAAATTTTTGTTATTATTACATATTTTGTTCATGTTATTTATATATTCTATCAACTTGGTAGTTGGTCCTAATTTTAACAAATTAAAATAAACTTAACTCTCAAATCAAATGGTGTCAAAGTAGTCTTTATTCATCTTATTCTTTCAATTTGTAGGAAAATAAACAAGAAAGGAAAGAAAAGAAAACTTACAAAAACATTGATTTCATTTTCTAGAAATTAAAAAAATTAAATATCAAAAGTTTTGATTTCAAAAATACATCTATATTAAATAAAATCAAGATTTAACTCTTAAAAATTTATCCAAAACAATTGCATTTTACTTATAATGCAACGAATTAGGTAAAAGTAAAATTATAATACTTTGATAGATAGAACATGTTCTTATGCTACTTTAGATTTATTTTTAACCAATGAGGACATGGTGCAGTAGCTTCATAGCTTCTTTTCGAACTTCAATCTTTAAAAAAAAAACTTTGATTGCTCATAGAAACCTAAACCTTAAATCCATGGCAATGTATCCCATGACTCAAAAACTTATCAACAAAACATGTTGGCTATGAGGCACGATGATCGTCGCGAAAACTTTGACCCCATTTGGGAAAAAATGGATTAGAGTTACTTATTTTGTAAATTAGCAACTTTAGTGATTAAACCATGAAGAATATGATTATGATTTTGTTTGAAGCATAACTCAAACTTCTTCTTGATATGTTTGTTTTTACGTTAAAATTTTGTATTAGTTGTTAATGACATCGATTCAACAAAGATTACATTTTTACTCCATGAAATTATCTTTTTCTTCCCTTATTTTGTTTTGAAATGCTGTGGACTGAGATAATGAAATTACGAAAGTGATGAAGGAAAAGAATTTATGTTGGAATAATTTTTGTATCTTACAGTAGTTTTACGTATTTGTCACACTAATTGTCATGTGTGTATCAATATAAATTATAGTATTTTAAGCTAAAAAACGAACATAGAGAAATACTAGCATGTCTCATCACAAAACATTGGCATGTTTATTTTACTTTATTATTAGAAATAATAAATGTAACACCCTAGACCAGTACAACACGCATACGACCAATTAGGGTGCTACACGAAACCATTGGGGTGGCTGACCAACCTTTTTCTTATTTGTCTTGCTTTAAAACGACTATTTTCTTTATAATTTCAACTATAAAAATATAATTAAAATACAATGGGAGCTCCCAAAATAAATATTTACATTCAAAATAATAACACTGAAGACTTTAAAATACATTTACGACTCAACTTTACAAGAGGGTTTATAAATATGCATGCCATTTAAAATGCTAAGACGTATTTTGATTTGCTTTGTATCTGGACCTCGAACACTTTAAGCTCTTCAATTACTCCACCTAATATACATAAGGAAACAAATTCCAAATGCTGAGCTAACTAGCTCGGTGCCACACTAACAACTTAAACATAGTAAAAGTGTATCGCTGAAAGGCTCAAGCTATCAATTCTACTGTTTTGCTTTAGTAAGTATACAAGTATACTCACTCTATACTCTATGGTAGACATCATGGTACGACTGTGGGTTCTTTATCTCAGAGCTCACACACCCCTTCTAGTCTACAGAGGATGGGCCCCTCAAAATCTCTGCATCAGACACCATACCCTCAACTAACCCACCCCGTACGAGTGTTAGGCATTGACCTTAGTTAATAAGCTTAAAGTGCCTTGCACACTCCCTAAGGATACCCGGACTGATTCTATACTTTCAATACCACTAGCTTTTCTAAAGGAACTTGGGTGTCCTGATCGTTTCTCGAGTATTCAAACAAGGCTAGTCTTATTCGCCATACTTTATTCCATTTTTATGTTTGAATTTAACATTATTACTGTTCTCACTTGTAGTCTTATTTGAGAGTAATTAAAGTTTTTGGGAAAACCTCATCTCATCTTAACTCTCCTATAATTAAAACCCTGAAAAACTAACTATTGGTATTGATACCAAACATATTGGTATCGATACTGACTCTAGAGTATCGATATTTCTTCTTGGGTATCGATACTCAAGGTAAAACATTACTAAGAGTTGAAGGGTGATATCGATACTCTCATACCAGTATCGATACTCCCATGATATAGTATTGATATTGACTAGGGTATCGATACCAAAATGGTATTTTGGAATTTGAAATGTTTTCCCGGTATCGATACCACCCCACGAGTATCGATACTAATCCTGTAGTATCGATACTCCTTCTGAGAGTATCGATACTCTCTTCAACCTAAGAAAAATTTCATACTTCTAAAGAACAATATCGGTATTGACTCATATAGTACCGATACTCCTGTTCGAGAATACCTTCTTTGGGCTCGAAAAAGCCACTCAAACTCCTCAATTTCTTTACCTTGAAGTTTCCCAATGATTATTAAGTCTTATGTGATCTTAGAGGGGTCATAAATAAGGCTTAAAACATGCTTAAATAACTTTAATATGAATCTACTATGGAAATCTGCTCAACATGCTTAAATCTTAACTTTCTAGCTAAAACTCATTTCTAATGATCCACAACTGGTATGAGGAAGCAGGGAGTGTGTTACCTGTCTTTATGGACTGCCAAAACTCCTATCAAATTAACTAGGATTCACTTTCTCTTTACCTCTAGCCCTTGAACTTCATCCTACCTCCTTAGCTTGGTTACTTCTAGTTAAGCTTGGAATTTGGAAAGCTTATACCTTTAAGCTTTCTCTTGGGAAGGAAAGGAATAGAGTTTGATGGGTTTTGGTTTTCACGTGAAAACACTTAAGATTAAGGGCTTTTATCCTTTAAAATTAGCTATGGGTAAATTGCTAATTTGGTCCCTCTCCTTTTAACCCAAATTAAAATTACCACTAACCTTTAACTCTTAGGCCAACCTAAGCCCAATACTCTAAAAAACTAGTCTAAACTGGTTTAGAAGATCTAATGGGCTCGACTCATGGGTATCGGGTTGACCCGAACTACTAACTCGAAATTCGAGGTATTACAATAAAAGCTGATAAAGAGAAAACAAAAGTTGTACTGGCTGACATTAAATTGGATTCCTCTCTAATTAACTACTTTGGCATATTTTGAGGTTAAATTTATTTTAATTTATTAAAAATAGGACCAATTTGATAAAATATATATAAGTAAGAATGATTAAATGTGTAATAATATCAAATATTTTAATTGCCACATCAGCTTTTTGGTTAAATACTAACGACAAGTACTTAATTGAATGTATTTAAATAGTTGAGTGACATGAATGACAAATTTTCAAAAATGTTGGTGAAAATAAAAAGGGGCAATAGTTAGGTGGTCATTAGTATAGTTTACCTTTTGTTTTAAATAATTTATCTTTAAATTTTCAACTAATTTATAATTATACGTTGAGACCTTTAAAATTTTAACGTTTTATAAATTAATTTATTGGTGTTCATCAGTGGTGCTCATCGTCGCTCATCGAGTGTAGAAGAATGATCCTATACAACATAAAATTTAAATAATGTTATTTTGGTATTTATAAACAAGTCATTCTTTTACTTCTAATTTGAGTAATTTTTTAACTTAAAATTAGGGAGTGCCAAAAATCTAAAATACGTGGATTTCATCCCAACATGTTTTTATACATTTAGATTTAGTTTTAAAAAAAAATAGATTTGGACACCAATCAAGCGGCCTTAGTGATTAGGAAATTTATTGTTAGTCCTTAAGATCAGTTTAAACATCGTGTATGTAGGGGTATGAGTGTTAATTGTCAAATGATTGAGAATATTTGAATAAATAATATCTTGTATTCACCCAAGATTTATAAAAAAAAATGGGGACGAGTTTGAGAAATAAAAAATTAGGCAAAGTTAGATTTAAGGTGAACTTATGTTGATCCGTCTTGAGATAATTACAATAATATTTTTATTATATCTCATCTAGACTTATTCTACAAATAACCTTTTTGAAGATTACAGCCTCCGTAATAATAATAGCTCTTCAGAGGATTACCTTTGTCGACCATATTACTCAAGGATAATCCTTTAATATTTCACATCATTTATTTTATTAATTGCTCTTGATATGACCTTTGACAAGTACATTTGATCCGTAATAATCAAA